CCTGAAGTCTTATTACATACATATTATTTAAAGTTCATGGTACCATCTAAGATATGTCTACTGGTCCCACCCTGTTTGGAGCAAAGGAGAATGAAGAAAACCAAAGACACAAGGGAAAGATGAGTCCAAAGGACTAATGGACCACAACTACCACGGCCTCCACCAGACTGAGTTCAGCACAACTAGATGGTGCCCGGCTACCACCACTGACTGCTCTGACAGGGACCACATAGAGGATCCTGGACAGAGCTGGAGAAAAATGCAGAACAAAGTTCAAATTTACAAAAAAAGACCAGACTTGCTGGTCTGATGGAGACTGGAGAAACCCTGAGTGTATGGCCCCCGGACACATTTTAACTCAGTACTGAAGTCACTGCCAAGGTCCCTCCTTCAGCCAAAGATCAGACACGCCTACAGGGTCGCCATGAGCTGGACTCCACTCGACGGCAACAGGTTTTTGGTTTGGTATAGGGCAATCAATAACCCCTGTGAGGAACATGCTTCATAGTTCAATCACGTATATGACATTAAACAGGCACACCAGCCCAAAAGCAAAGACGAGAAGTCAGGAAAGGACTGGAAAAGTGGATGAATGAAAACAGAACCCAGGGTGGAGAAGGGGAGAGTGTTGACACATCGCGGGGTTGGCAACCAATGTCACAAAACAATTTGTGTATTAATTGTTTAATGAGAAATTAATTTGCTCTATAAACTTTCAACTAAAACACACTAAAAAAAAACAAATAAAGTTAATGGCCAAAAAAAATCATAAACTAGATTAAAAGGTAGACTGGGAAACATCTTTGCAACAGATATGACAGATAAAAATACTGATATCCATAATAAACACTTTCCCTGAGTTAATAACAAATAGAAAAAGGGCAAGGGTGAGTCACAGAAGATAGCTTTCAAATGGCCACTAAACATATGAAAAGACATTCAAACTTGCTAGGAGTCAAATAAGTGACAATTAAACAAGAAAACTGCATTTTTAACCCACCAAATTGGAAAAGAAAAGCGGAAGAAATGCATCTTGTGCTGTCAAGGAAACAGGCCTTCTCTTGTCTCTGCAGGAGTGACCTGCAGCAGGAGCGACCTGCGGCACCTTTTCTGAATGTAAAGGAGCCCTGGTGGCGCAGTGGTTAAGCACTCTGCTGCCCACTGAAACGTCAGCAGTTCGAACCCAACAGCCACTCCACGGGAGAAAGCTGAGGCAGTCTGCTTCCGTCAAGATTACAGCCTTGGAAACCCTATGGTGGAGCTCTACTCTATCCTGAACGGTCACTATGAGTCAGAATCAACTTGATGGGTTTTCCAAATGTAATCTGACTACATCTAAAATTTAAAAAATCCATTCTCTTTAGCATAGGAATTGCAGTTTGGAAATCTAATGGGAAAATCAAAGCAACAGCATGTAAAACCTTTAAAAAAAAAAATTACCTCTCTATGCTGGGGGCTTGTATTTTTGTTCTTTTTGATCTAAAAATTACTAAAAAATGATTTTTAATTCTTTAACTTCTGTGTATAGGACTATAATATGTACATTCGTGACGTTCGTGCCGCGCAGACTGTGAACTCTGAGGAAGTCACTTCATCTTACTGTGCCTGAGTTTACTCCTCCGTAAAATGACGATGCTGAAGGTAACTACCTTCACGGAACTGTGAAGACGAAATACGTCAGAACGTACAAAGCTCTTCCAACAGTGCACGCAAGCATTCACTAAACATTAACTATTACTATGAATGTGAATAAAATTCGGGACTACAAGTAAACATGAATGCATATAACGTACCCAGTGGTTCTCAAATTTGGAGGTTTATTTGACTCACTCTTAAAAATCCTGATGCCCTGGTCGCACCCCAGACCAATCACATGAGAACTGCTGGGGGTGGGCCCCCGTACCGGGTAAACTCTAACAGATGATTCCAATACACAGACAAGTTTAAGAACTAGTGATGTAAATTAAACTGCATAGATAAGTAACAAGCAGGCACGAAGGCTGCAAATGCTTAATATAAGAGCTGAGTTGAAGTCGGGTTTGGAAGGAAGAACGGTGCCTAACTCTAAATTCTATAAAATTTCTACTATCTTTTTCTATTAAAACTGGTACCCAGAGGTCAGAGATGGGAAAAATTGTGCAGATACTGCAAGCCAATCTCTTTAACTCAAGTGGAGGGCAGAGCCAAAACTTAATGAAAAACACACGCAGTATTAAAATGTATATCTGTTTAGGTAGGAAAACAAAATTTGACAACCTGCTACTTTTGAGAAGAGCTGACACGTACATTCATTCAAAGCCTGAAAGACAGCAATCTCTCTGTGCTGCAGAAATGTGATTACCTGGAGAAACTGCTGTGTACTCAGCAAGCACAAAAGGCAGTGACAAACACAAAGGAAGTACACACTGCTCTAAGGCAGAAACTGTTTTCCACTCCATCCAGGATCCAGCATAACGAAGCACTCCGATTCTATATAAAAAGACGGCACAAGTCATGTGCTAGAATTGGGCACGTTCTGAGTCATAGGCCAGCTGCTCCATTTTTTATCAGATCATCATAATCGTCACTTCCAACAGGTAGGGGCAGTCCAGCAAGCGCCCAGCACCGGCTTGCTTCTAAGTCTCTTGGACTACAAAGAATGGAGACATCTCACTGTGAGGATCAAACCCACGGTAAGGCTGAGGTACCTTCACAAAAAGCTTGTATGACAACGTGAAAGCCTTGTCTGGGTGCAGTTCTTTTTTCAACCACTAGCTCACAAAATTGGAGCCCTAGTGGCACAGTGGTTAAGAGCTACGGTGATCTATGGCTTCTAACCAAAAGGCTGGCAGTTTGAATCTACTAGCCGCTCCCTGGAAATCCTATGGGGCCGTTCTACTCTGTCCTGTAGGGTTGCTACGAGTCGTCAATGACTCGACAGCAACTGGTTTGGTTTTTTTGGTTTGGTATGCAGGAGACCTGGGTTCAATTCCCGGCCAATGCACCTCATGTGCGGCCACCACCCGTCTGTCAGTGGAGGCTGGCATGTTGTTAGGATGCTGAACAAGTTTCAGCAGAGCTTCCAGATTAAGACGGACTAGGAAGAAAGGTCTGGCAATCTACTTCTGAAAACCAGCCAGTGAAAACCCTATGGCTCATAGCAGTCCGATCTGCAGCCAGTCACGGGGATGGCACAATTTCATTGTGTATGGGGTCTCCATGAGTTGGGGGTAACTGGACAGCAGCTAAGGGCAACAGCAACAGTTCACAAAATAGGGCAGGGTAGGAGGGCACAAACGGTTAAAGCAGTCTGCTGCTAACCACAAGGTTGGTGGTTTGAACCCACCCAGTGGCTCCATGGGACAAAGATCTAGAGATCTGCTCCCGAAAAGATGGTTGTTGTTGTTAGGTGCTGTCGAGTCGGTTCCGACTCACAGTGACCCCATGTACAACAGAATGAAACACTGCCCGGTCCTGCACCATCCTCACCATCATTGCTGTGTTTGAGCCCATTGTTGCAGCCACCGTGTCAATCCATCTCATTGAGAGTCTTCCTCTTTTTCGCTGACCTTCTACTTTACCAAGCACGAGATTACAGAAAAGACTTCTACCTGGGAAGACGACAGCCCAGGAAACCCCAGGGAGTAGTTCTACTCTGTCACGTGGGGTTGCTAAGAGCCGAAATCCACTTGATGGCACCTAACAACAACAAGCCCTCATCCTGGGGAAAGCTCTTGGATGTTTTCTACTTTGCTCTCCCAGAGCGTCTTCTGTTCTGAGTATCCTCCTGCCCAAAGGCTGAGTGAGTTGCTGGCTGGGTTTGTGTCCTGGGATCAACAGGCAGGGCTGCGGCCACTCTAACAGGGAACTGACCCAGGGGCTTGGGGGATGGCTAACCAGCTGCCCTGGTAGTTCCTTCTTGAAGGGGTAAACTAGCCAGAAGTTCAATGCCAGCATTTATGAACGCGTGCTAACAGCCCCAGACCAACAAAAATGAACGTCTCCAGACAGGCTCACTTGGGAATTCTTAACTGGTCCTTTATTCTTCTTTAATTATCATTTCAACCAAGCTTTCCAGCCTCCCTCATTACCTCCTTGGCAAATGAAGCACTTGTATGCTTCGTTTAAATATTTTATCTGTAGCCTATTCCACACGTTAGTCAACGTTTCCACCTGACAACTGGGATCAAGGCAGAATCAAAAAAAAAAGCCCACTGCCTTCAAGCGGATGTCGACTCACAATGACCTTACAGGTCAGAGTAGAACTGCCCCATAGGGTTTCCAAGGCTGTAACCTTTACGGAAGCAGACTGCCACATCTGTCTCCCGCAGACGGGGTGGGTTCGAACCGATCTTTCAGTTACCAAAAGAACTCTTAACCGCTGCGCTACCAGGACCCCACTCAAGCCCTAGGTCTCCCTTAAACAAAACATCTTTCATAACACTGCAATTTATAAAAACAGTTTGCCACTCTTTCTTGGACAGACATTAATCTTTGTGGATCTTTGGCCAGCATACATGCACCTATAGTTTCCAAACAAGAAAAACTCTTTAATGTGAAGTGTTACAAAAGTACGATGCTGAAGTTTGCCATGGCTTGAGGAAAAGCACTAACCATCGTAAGGAAGCCAAGCCGTGAACAAAAACGAAAGGATACACGCTGTCGACATCAAGAGCTTTAAACATAAAAAACAGCTGCCGTCGAGAATGAAAAGGCCCGCACAGGCGCGCTGGCCGACTCGGTTATACAGAACCCTGGGTTCCGTCAGCCAGACCACGGGGTTGACCTAGGAACCTTCGGGGTTACAGGCTCGCCGCGGGCCGCTCTCCATCCACCGTCCCACTAGGTCGCGCGCGCTGCTCGGAACCCTGCCCGGAGGAGCTCAGCTCACGCTGCAGTCGGGGCGACGCGAGGTGCAGGGCCGGGGGTCGGTCCTGAGGGGCGCGGCCCTGAGGAGGGCGGCCCGGCACCTCGTCCCTGGCGCACCCCTCCCGACTGAAGCTCCCGTGCACCCTGCTTACCGGGCCGGGCGCCGCATCCCTGCGCTCTGCGGCGAGCTGGCAGCGGCGGCCAGCGAAGGCGCGGCAGAGCTGGGGGAAGAAGATCTTAGTCCTGAGCCTCCAGGCCGCCATCCGCTCGCGTCCGCCCGGCTCCCGCGGCGCAAGGAAACGTCGCAACGGCGTCAAAGGCCGCCTTACGTCAGTGTCGCAAGTCTAAGGCGAAGGCAGCGCGGGCGACCGTGCGCTTTCCCGGCGGTTTGAGGAAGTGGGGTGCTGCGAGGACCTGGAGGCGGTGGGCGAAGGGCAGCGGGCGCTCCTCGGCCGCAACCACCTCAGGCTGTCGTGCACGCGGCTATCGGTGGGCCGTGTGGAGGCGCAGCGTCCCGGGGACGGCTCCCCGGGGTTGGGGGCGTTCGGCCCGAGGTGGGGCCTCGGCGACCGGGCAGAGGCGGGAGCCGTGGAGGCTGCGGAGACGACCGGCGGAGCGCGATGGCGCGGGAGGGACAGGTGAGCGGGCGCAGCGTGCCTGGCCGCGGGCAGACTCCTCAGCCGTGTGGCGGGCGGGCTCCTTCTCCTCCGGCGTCTGGCCTCGCGGCCTCTTCCCTGGCCGGGCCGACGCGAGGCGGCTGCGTCCTGGGCTGGACCGGGCCGGGCCTCTTCTTCCGCTCCCGGCCGTGGCAAGCGCGCCGTCCCCTCCCCCGCGGCCCATTGTGAGGTCAGGGCCGGCCGGCGCGTCGTGGGACCCGGGCGGAGACGCCCGGAGCGGCCGCTGCGGCCAGTAGCTGCCGCCGCCACCGCCGGCCCTTGCACCGGCTGCCTCGTTCAGACCTAGCCGGGAGGGGTAAGAGGGATGCAGCTCGGGGCCCGGCTCCGGCGCCTCACCCCGTAAAGGGCTGATCTTCCACCTGGCCACCTTCATACGGGAAGCCAAGATCGCCACCAGCCCAGACCGCCTCCGGGTAAAGTGCCGAGAGGACCGAGCGAGGAGGGAGGCGAGGACTGAGCCGGCCTGCCCCGGGTGGGCCTCCGGAGGGCGCCCTTGGCTCGGCCACCCACAGGGATTGGTTTCATTGATTGTCCACATCCGGGGAGCCGCTTGAGAGAAACGCAAGAACGTCAAAACATGCCTTAAGCATTCTGAACTCTCCATGGGCGGAGGGGATGAGCTGTTCACAGTTGAGTCGCATTTTACGGGGTGTATTTTGGTAGGGGGAGAGATCCTAGTCCTCCAAAGCCAAAGGCAGGCCCTGAGCATGATCCCAGTGGCTCTTCCTTTCCCCATGGAATGTCGTCCTTCTGCAGGGAAACATCTCTCCGGGAAGATGTGTGAGGGACTAAAGGGACAGGTGAAAACGGGGCTTGGAGAGGGGCATAAAGGAACGAAGAAGAAGTTAGAAACGGGGACTTTGGGGCGGTAGGACCCTCTGGGGCTTGTTTAGGGGCTCAGTTCCTTTTGCCCTGAGTTACTTTTTCTGGAAACCAGACGTAACTGTTGGAGGGATGGGGTGCTTAGATTGTTACAGTTTGGAAGGTTAGATGAGACGCTGTTTGACTTTCTTCTTGTCTGTATTCCACGGGGTGCTCTGCTCGTTCCAATGTTAAAGCCTAAAATATTTGTGCTGTTCCAAGCTGCTAGTTCAACTTCATGCTGTAGTTCTTCTAAAGGCATGCTAGGCTGCTCTCTTTTACGGTGGAAGAAGCTCGAAATCCACAGGCCCTGGGTTCCCCCTGGACACTGCAGTGACCACTGTGTTCTTAATCACTGCCAGGCTTAGGGAAGGGAGTTGATATGTCACCCTCTTTTCTGTACTTGAGTATAACTGTCTTTGGGGTTGCAGTTGGGACAAGGTAATCTTTTAATTAATACGTGATTACCCTTCTTCAGAGACTTTCTGCTGTAATAAGTTGTCGTTCTTGTCACCCTTTAGTGCTGGTGAAACGGGACCCAATCAAAGTATGGCTATGGGAAACCAACATCCTTCTATTAGTAGGCTTCAGGAAATCCAAAAGGAAGTGAAGAGCATAGAACAACAAGTAACTAGCTTCAGTGGCCTGTCAGATGACAAGAATTACAAGAAACTGGAGCGGATTCTAACAAAACAGCTTTTTGAGATAGACTCTGTGGACACTGAAGGAAGAGGAGATATTCAGCAAGCTAGAAAAAGGGCAGCCCAGGAGACAGAGCGTCTTCTCAAAGAGCTGGAACAGAATGCAAACCACCCGCGCCGGCTCGAGATCCAGAACATTTTCAAGGAAGCCCAGGCCCTCGTGAAGGAGAAGATCGTGCCATTCTACAGTGGAGGCAACCACGTAACTGATGAATTTGAGGAAGGCATCCAGGATGTCATTCTGAGGCTGACGCACGTGAAAACTGGAGGGAAGATCTCCCTGCGGAAAGCCAGGTACCACACCTTGACCAAAATCTGTGCGGTGCAAGAGATCATCGAAGACTGCATGAAGAGGCAGCCGTCCCTGCCGCTTTCTGAGGATGCGCACCCTTCCGTGGCCAAAATCAACTCTGTGATGTGCGAGGTGAATAAGGCCAGAGGCACCCTGATCGCGCTCCTGATGGGCGTGAACAGTAACGACACTTGCAGGCACTTATCCTGTGTGCTCTCGGGGATGATGGCAGACCTGGACGCTTTGGATGTGTGCGGGCGGACGGAAATCCGGAACTACCGGAGGGAGGTCGTAGAAGACATCAACAAATTACTGAAGTATCTGGATTTAGAAGAGGAGGCAGGCAGTACGCACGCGTTTGACCTGGGACAGAACCATTCCATTCTAAAGATAGAAAAGGTCCTCAGGAGAATGAGAGAAATAAAAAATGAGCTCCTCCAGGCGCCAAATCCTTCTGAATTGTACCTGAGCTGCAAAACAGAGCTGCAGGGCCTGATCGGACAGCTGGATGAAGTGAGCCTGGAGAAGAACCCCTGCATCCGGGAAGCCCGGAGGAGGGCGGTGATTGAGGTACAGACGCTGATCACGTACATCGACTTGAAGGAAGCCCTGGAGAAAAGAAAGCTGTTTGTGTCTGAGGAGCACCCACCACTCAAAGCCGTCTGGAGCGTCCTTGGCAACTTGTCTGAGATCCAGGGAGAGGTGCTTTCGTTTGACGGGAACCGCACAGACAAGAACTACATCCGCCTGGAGGAGCTTCTCACGAAGCAGCTGCTGGCCCTGGACGCCGTGGACCCGCAGGGAGAGGAACGTTGCAAGGCTGCCAGGAAGCAGGCGGTGAAGCTGGCCCAGAACATCCTCGGCTATCTCGACCTGAAATCCGACGAATGGGAGTACTAAGATACCAGGCCTCTCAGGTTCAATATTGCTTGTTTTGCACTTTATATAGACTCTATGTATTTCTCGAAAGCTGTCAGTTCATTGAGCTTAAATGTGATTTATATACATGCCTACTTCAACCTCAGTATTTATGATTTAAGCAAATTATATTCAGAATCTCTGCTGCTTTTGATGTTGCAAAACAAATGTCATTACAGCACACTGACTTTTCCCTCGGGATCATTATCCGTATGATGTGGCGTGGTTTTTTGGGGTCTTTTGTTGTTGTTGTTAAAAAATGGAACTGAGGCAGCTTTTGTAATTTTAAAAAATGGGTTGGGTAAGCATTAAAATGCAGATATTTCAGAATCTAGAAGAAAAGACATAACCTCACATGATTCTGGAAACATCACGGGGGGGGGATTTGGGTTGAACAGGAGTAAGGGCCAAGCAAAAGCAGTCCGGTGTATATTTTAATATCATGCTGAACAAAGTAGAAGAGCTTGTTTCCTTTATAAATCCTGACTCGGTCCCACCCCATGGATTGGGTGGGGTTTTTGGTTTGTTACTGGATGGTTTGGAGTGAAGATCTGTTCTTTTGTAAATGTTTTTCAACATTTCTCCCCCTATACTCTGCATTTAGAGGAAGTCTTATTTTTATGTGTATGAGGTAAGAACATTGTAAAAATAGCAAAAAAAAAAAAAAAAAAAAATGAGACTGCATTGAAGAAGGGGTAAAACGCTAGCTATTAAATACCTTCACGGTGTTATTTTTGTTTGTAAAATCTGACCTTCACAGTTTTTCCCTAGTGATTAGTAAGGATGGGAACATTTGAATGAAGTTAGTTGACCTTTAAAGAAACAAACAAGGAAGCTGTCCACTGCAGCTGTCTCCCTGTAGTGCATAATGAAAGCTGGAAATGAGTGACCAGTGCCAAGTTCCGCTAATGCGAAGCAGAAACTTTAGCAGCTAGCAGGAAATGGTTTTCTTCTGTCATTCCAGGCTATGGGAGGGACAAGCTTGTTAGATGTACCCAGTGCTGTTTTACAACTTGGATCCCAGCAGCTGTCGGTGACTCTGCAGAACCAGATCTGTGTAACTTGTCAGGGAAAGTTAGTTGTCTATAACTAGCATCTTAAATGTCAGACTCTGTGGGACTAATTAGTAAAACCTGTTCTGAATTAAAGTTTGTTTTTTTTTTCTTCTCTAGGTACTTAGATCATATTGTTGGTATGTGGAAGTTTATCACTTAAAAGCTATTAAAACGTATCAGTGCATGAAATGTTTTTCTCCTGCTAAAGGCCATATTTCGTAAATACTTTCTGATGGCCCAATTTTATGGTTGCTGTGAACGCAAACAAAAACATTTCCCGAAGTTGAGAGGCGCCTCTGTAACCTCTTGGCCCCAGTATTGCCTGATGAACAGACTGCTCTTTCTGTAGTCACCTTTCACAAACAATCAGTCATCTTAAAGACATCTTTGGAACTCTGTAGTAATCTGTTACTCTGGTAACTTCGTGCAGTGAAATTGTCATTGTCAACACGTGAAAAGAGGTCAGTTACTACAGGAAGAGCCGTAAATGCCCGAAGGTGACTGGAGCACAGCTCTGAGCGTATGTCTCAGTGCTGCCCAGGAACAAAAAGCCCTCGACCTGCCTTTCCCACTAGAAATGTTCTAGGACCATTGGACGGCTGGGTCAACGGGCAGTAGGGGCCCTGGCAGTGAGGCCCTCCGGTGAGCACATCCAGGTCCTGGGAGCGGTAGCCCCTCATTGCAGGTCGCTGGTTCTCTCATTCCAGCCAAAGTAGTGTTAGGGTGCTTTTCTGTATCATAGTTTTAGGATGCTCTTAAAATTTTGAAGAAGAGTTTTTACATTAGAGCACTGTCTTAATTATACCACTGGGAAATCAAGGGTATACCGGAATTCACTTCAGACATAGCCTTCACCAAGTTCTGCTATTTGTTTAATTTTGATCTTGAAAGTTAAATGTCACTGTTTGCTTTAGAAGTGGTCACCGTTTAAAAGATTTTCTGTAGCTTTTGTAGCAACATGTAGTGCTGAGCTTGGAGCACTGCGTGTGAGCATAGCACTGTCCCTTTGACCATCTCACGTGGGTCATCTGAACGGTCAAACAGACCTTGTGACCACTCAGGCATGGCTTGCTTCCTGCTTTTAGTGCGTCCTAGTCACTTGTACCCAATCACCCTGCTCACGTAACAAGCCCAAGTAACGCGAATCTGCCCTGCCTTGCTCCTCACTGGGAGCTGCTGGTGTTCGCGTGTCCCTTGGATCGGGCGCTTCTCGTGCGGTGCTTGTGCTCTCACACAGACGCTGTGGTGGACGTAAAACCTCCCGCAGCAGCCGCGGGGCCCGTCCATGTTCACGTGACAGACGGCTGGGAGTGTTTGCTTTCTTTACCTCCTGTACAGGCAGCATTACTTCCAGATTTTTCTGTCTAAAGAGATTCCAGTCAGCCTAAAATGAAGTAGTTATTAAAATAAACGTAATGAGTTATGTCTACTAAGTACAATGTAATCCTTTATTTTGCTAAAATGCCTTCGTATGATACATTTGATATAACAGTATGTTTTGAGGTTTAAAACCAGCTTTTTTCGCTTGTTTTACTTTGCTGATTTTTATGTGGCTTTTGAGAATCTAAGCTTATCTTGTACACACAGTTTTTTTGAGCAAAGCTTTTCACATATAACTTGTCAGATATTTTTACCTTAGAAATAATTTGAGAAGTCTTGTCCTTGATTCTTATATATAAAACGTGTGTTTCCAGCGTGTGGTTCCTACCCCGTCTCTAACTGTATGACTGCTATGATAGTGTGTTATAAACAATTGAGTATTCCTCTTGAGATATACATATTCTGTCCTCTGATTCATGAAATAAAAAGCTCTTAGCTTGTTTTGCGGTGGAGAAAGGATGAGAGTCTGGGGTGTGTGTTCTGTTCTGACCCTCATGTACTGTCTGACTTGGGGAGGGGACGAGTTGTCACCAGAGTAGGCCAGGCCAAGGGGGAGGGTGGGCTCCCAGCGAGGGGTGGAAGGAGATGGTGGTGGCAGCGCTGTCTCGAGCACAACCAGGGTCCAGTCACAGGTGACAGGGTCACGGAGTTCCCAGTTCTCAACACCCCAGGAATTGGGGGGCCTGAGGACGAGGGAGCTCTGCCCCCGAAAAGCAGCAGCCTGGGAAGTGATTCTGGACCGGTTCTCTCCCTGAAGAAAAGCTCTCAGTTGGAGTGTGCAGTGGACTTTGCTCTTTCTCGCCTTTTCCCTTTTGACGGTCTGTGTCTTCCGGACGGTCCCTGTGGGGGGCAGAGGCAGCCGCTGAGTGAGAAGGAGCAGGCTGTACAGGTTATGGGGCACTTGGAGGCTGTAAGCAGCCAGCCCCCCACCACACGCACACCGGTCGACACCAGGCTTTTTATTCCCGCAGACTTTAGAGCCTGGTGGTGTCCTGAAGATCGGGGAATGCCCATTATGTCACCACCCCCAAAGAAGTGACAGCATCAGACACTGGGTCTGTCTCGAGGCATAGATGGCTGGGTGTCAGGAAAAGTGCGGGTCCCGCGAGGCGGTTGGGGAGAGGCCACGGGGTTAGGGAGGCCTGGAGAGGGGCTCACTGGCCCCGGTGGCTGGTGGGAGTGCCACGCGCGGCAGCCTGGGGATGGCGCTCCGGCAGCGGCGCCCGGGTTGGCTCTGGGGCTGCCCTTCCTGGTGGACGAGTCTGCCGCCTCCCATGCCATGTGCTGTAATGACAGCGCTTCCTTTCTTAAAGCTGCGTGTCACTGAGCCAGGCCCTAAGCGGAATGCCTTACGTGCGTTTTCATTCTCTAAGTCACCCTGCGCTGACATCCTCACCTCTGGTATCGGGATTCTGAGGCCGGGCTGCAGGGTTGGCAGGGAGAGAACAGTACAGACTCAGCCGCACGTCGGGTTACCTGGAGGCTGGAGAGGCTGCAGCTTTGGGCCCCCACCCCACCCCACCCCAGAGATTCTGGGACACAGCCTGGGCACCATTCCTGTCTGAGAGCCACAGGCCCCGTCGGGAAGAGACAGACTCGGAGCCAGGCTGTGGAGGGTCACGTCAGCTCTCCACCTGTGAAGCGGGGAGTTTGCCCTTGGGCCTTAGCTTCTCCTGAAAAGCAGGCAGTCCTGACCCTCACGGTGGTGAACACAGAAAGCATTTGGCTCCAGTGTCACATCCCAAAGCCACTGCATCAGTGTGACACGCACCCAGTTAATGGGTCCCAGAATCCGAGTCCAGTTTAAGAAACACCATGCTAACAAACTAACGTCTTATTCTGTCAGAATGTCTTTCAGTTGTGAGTTACAACTGGGAAAAATTATCTAACGTAACATCACAATGAAGTTAAGATACTGCCCCATCTTACAATCCACACATCTTCCCCAAGGTTCCATTGACCCGTGACATGACCCCCAGTCAGAGGAACGCTGTGAAGCCTCTGCCCCCCCCCGTGTGTCGGCTCAGCTCGGTGGTGCCGGGAAACAGCTGGCGCTCAGTTTGTATAATAATCCCTTACATCCTGAGCCCTTTTCCTGCAGCCCATTTTACAAACAACTTTCTGGTGCTCCTCACTTCCTCCCTGCCCTGTGTTTGGGTCACCTCCGTCCTCCAGGGCTCAGCTCTCAGGACCAAGGCTGACTGACCTCGGTGTGAGCTGGGGGAGCCCCCGAATGGCCCCTTTGCAGCAAAGGTCTTGCTGGCCATGTAGCTCTGCTGCGTGTCTGGGTTCTGGCGCTTTCATGTGGAAGCAGGAACAGGTGTTGTGCGCCTCCCCAGGGCTGTCCCTCGGAGGGCGTCCTTGCCCCTGCCCCCGCCCCCGGCGGGGTTCCTGTCCGCAGCCTCTCCACCCAGCCCCTGGGCCCCCTCGCCCCGCTGGTGCCTCTCAAACAAGAGCCCCAATTCTTGATCTTTGTAGACACAGGCATCGCAGTGATGGCGCTTGAACATCTTTGGGTGGACTAGGCTTTAGAAATAGCATCCTCGGCTCCTGGCACATGATAGGTATTCCACAAACATTTTCTGGATAAATGAATGCAAGCCTCCGAACTTCAGAAATACCACATGGGATGGCTTTAACAAACAGGAGTTTATTCTCTCACAGTCTAGGAGGCTAGACATCCGAATTCAGGCCGTCAGCTCCCGGGGAAGGCCTTCTCTGTCCGAATTCAGGCCGTCAGCTCCCGGGGAAGGCCTTCTCTGTCCGAATTCAGGCCGTCAGCTCCCGGGGAAGGCCTTCTCTGTCCGAATTCAGGCCGTCAGCTCCCGGGGAAGGCCTTCTCTGTCCGAATTCAGGCCGTCAGCTCCCGGGGAAGGCCTTCTCTGTCTGCTCTGGGGGAAGGTCCTTCTCATCAATCTTCCCCTGGACTTGGAGCTTCTCAATGCAGGGACCTTGGGTCCACAGGATGCATGCTCCTGGCTATACTTTCTTGATGGTATGAGGTCCTCCTATCTCTCTGCTCGCTTCTCTCTTTTATATCTCAAAAGAGATTGGCTCAAGACACAATCCAATCTTGCAGATTGAGTCCTGCCTCATCAACACAACTGCCACTAATCCCATCTCATCAACATCATAGAGGTAGGATTTACAACACACGGGAAAATCACATCACATGTCAAAATGGTAGACAATCACATAATACTGGGAATCATGGCCCAGCCAAGTTAACAGATATTTTTGAGGGACACAGTTCAATCCACGACAAGAGCTTTGTGAAATGTTTTAAAATGAGTCACCTGTTTGCTCATCAGGATCCAGCGAACCTTTAGCCTGCTGTGCCTCAGGCCACCATCGGTTATTGCAACTGCTGGGATTCCCCAATACCCACCGTGTCCCCTCCAGAGTTTGGGGGACCCTCACCTGATGCCCACCTTGGCCCCTCCAGAGTTTGGGGGGCCCTTGCCTGATACCCACCATGTCCCCTCCAGAGTTTGGGGGGCCTCGTCTGATACCCACTGCATCCCCTCTGGAGGTGGGGGACCCTTGCCTGATACCCACCGTGTCCCCTCCAGAGTTTGGGGGGCCTTGTCTGATACCTACTGTGTCCCCTCTGGAGGTGGGGGGCCCTTGTCTAGTAACCACCATGTCCCCTCTGGAGTTTGGGGGGCCTGACCAATACCCACCACTGACAGACACCCCACCTGTGACCAGCTGGCCAAACGGCCCAGCGGGGGGCTGGGGTATGGCTGTGTCCTGACGGCCAGGCAGGCCAGCATGTCTACTCCCAGCTGAGGGTGGCTGATCTCCATCTTCAGGAATCGTCTGTACTGTGGCTGAAGCCCTCTGCCTGCCCCATGCATCCCCACTCGGGAGTGACTGCGGTCAGCCTGTGTTAGGCCTCAGAGTGTGCTGGACGGCCAAGCAGGGGTTCACCAAGGCCCCCTGCTCTGCAGATCACTTTACATGACTCAGGATGATCCAGGCTATTTGATGGATTGCGTCCTGGGAAACTTGCTAATTTGGGGAGGTGGAAGATTGAGGGGGATAGTTAAGTCTTGGGGGCAGATTACATTCACTTAAACATCTGAGTGCCTGTTACGTGCTGGAGGTACAGAGAACGTAGAGACCCAGGTACCCATAGCCCAGCAACAGAGATTGACACAATACCTGGGGGCGAGGGCCACTGCAGAGGGTCAGCAACCCGGTGGGGGCGGGGGCGCCACGGGGGGTCAGCATCCGAGGGGAAGGGCTGCCAGGAAGCGTCAGGGGTGAGGGCCACTACAGATGGGCAGTACCCAGGGGTGAGGGCCACAGGGCTCCTGAGGATTGTAGGGAGTGGTGGCCAAATCTGATTGGGTGGTTGAGAAGTCAGGGAAGGCTTCCTGGAAGAGGAGGCATAGCAGTTAAATGACAAGACATGAACAGCAATGAAAAGTGCAGGTGCCTGCTACCTGGAGACGGAAGGGTCCCAAGCATTAAAAAATCATAAAGGCCTTCTCTGGGGGGTGGGGCGAGGCTCCAGGCAGTAAGCTGAGGGCTGGATCATTAGACATTACTGTCTGCGAGCCCGCAGAGCCGGGACTGGACAGACACTGTCTCGGGAGGGCTGGCGGTCATGGTCACTAGCAGTGCCGTGGATTGCAGCCAGGCAAGGCCTCCAGAAGCCGGGTGCCAGCTGAACCCAGAGCTATGAGGGAGGCGGCGGGAAGGTGGATCCTTGTGTGGGAGGAAGGCCGGCCCCAGGAGCGTGGAGGGACAGGCCTTCCTTCCCTGGACTGGGCAGTGTGGCTGGCCAGAGTGACCCATCAGGCCCAGAGCCCTCCTGCCTCTCCTCCCTCCACCCACCTGTGAGGCCCTGGGCATGGGTGACGCACCATGAGATGGGGTCCCCCAGCGATGCTGGCCGGAGTGTCTTGAACAGCTCCTGGTGAGGGGGTGAACGGCCCTGCTGAGTAGCCCCGTCCCAGCCACCACCACTGCCTGGCATCACTGTGCACAGCACCGTCGGTGTCTGCAGTTCCGGCTGCCCAGGGTTCGTGACTGTTTGGTGTGTGTGTTTGGGGTGCGTCTTCCTCTCCCTGCCCTGTCTCCCTGTCGACAGTCTGCTAGCCTGGGGTCACTCAGTGTATGATATGGACATGTGAGGCCTCAGGGGGACAGACCCACAAAGGGCTGCAGGACGCACTGGGCAGGGGCCCAGGGACAATCCCCAGGTGGGTGGTGCGGCCACAGAGTGGCCTTCCAGCTGGGCCTTGATCAGGAGGGGAGGAAAAAGCCCGTCACCTCTGCCTCCTGCAGAGCCCATTGGATGTGGGGGGCAGAGCTGGAGGAGGGCAGAGCTGGAGGGGTGTTAGAACTGGAGGGGGGCAGGGCTGGGGTTCAGAGCTGGAGGGGGGCAGAGCTGGAGGGGGGCAGAGCTGGAGGGGGGCAGAGCTGGAGGAGGGCAGAGCTAGGGGGCAGCAGAGCTGAGGGGGCAGAGCTGGGGTGAGAGCAGAAGACCTGGAGGGGGCACAGAGCTGGGGTAAAGGCAAAGCTGGAGTTGGGGCAGAGCTGGGGTGAGGGCAGAGCTGGAGGGAGCAGCGCTGGGGTCTGGTTCAGAGCAGAAGGAAGCCGCTTCCGGAGGCTGAGCTGGACAACAGGCACACCGCTGGGCCTCACTCTTGGCTCCGGGTCTCAGCCGGCCAGGAGGGAAGGACAGACAGGGCCTTCCACCTGCCTCTTTGGCCCCCACCCCATGCCAGCCCCTGGGTCTCCGACCCCAAGCAAGCCTGCCGGCTCCACCTGCCGTCTCTGGTCACCCTGGCTACCCCAGCGCTGTCCCTTTCCCAAGGAGGGAGGAGCAGAGGGACGGTGACAAACCGCTGCTGGGGCCGCCAGCCACCAGCCCATGGGTGAGAGGCCATGGAAGGCAGAAGCAAGAGCCAGTGCAAAGGCCCTAAAGTGCAGGACCGTGTGGCTGAAGCAGGGGGCAGGTCTGGCAAGACACCCGCGAGGCCGCGGCCACCGGGCCCACTGGGGCGGGACTGCAGCCTGGGCCAGGGGCTGGGTCGCCCCGGCGCTGCCCACTCCTCACAAGAGCAGGCTGCCTTCCACCAACGCCGTCCATGCAGGCCTGAGCTGGCCGGGCATCGGTCATGGCGCCGCAGCCTGAGCCCCACGGCCCGGGCCTGACAGGGAGGGAGGGCTCCCACAGACCTGCCACCGAGGGTCCCACGCGCCCGCGCTCGCCGGACCGCCGAGGCCCCCAAACACCGCGCGAGGTCCTTCCGCGCCCGCCCACCTGCCCGCCCTCCCGTGTGTGGCCGCCAGGGGGCGCCCCCGCCCGGGTTTGCGACCCAAGGACACCAGAAGTGGCCGGAGCTGTCTTGCGGGGCCCCCGCCGCGCACACCTTCCCCGTTGGTGGGGTACAGGTATCCGGGGTCGCCGAGCGGGGCCTCTGCACCAACGCTGGGCATTGCTCCCGGTGTTGGTGACACCCTCCGGCCGCAGCGCCCAGCTCGGCACCGACACATGCTGCCCGCGGGGTTACAGTAGCGGGGGGTGGCTCCGCCCCATCTCACAGTGGGGGTGGGCACAGGGCTATCTGCGTGAGGGCCCTCGGGTACCCCCAAGTCTGCCACAGCCCCCCTAACAGCCACGCCGTCCCGGGACCTCCGGCTCAGCAGCCTGGCAGGTTGTCATCACACGGACCCCGGCCCAGTGCCCCTCCCCGCAGCGGGCCGAGGCTGTCCCCCCAACACCTTGGCACGGGGACTTGCGTCTCTCCTGGAAACACCGGCCTCGTCCTGCCAGGCCCGGCCGAGTGCCGCTTCCTCCGGGAAGCCCGTGGGACTGCACTCCGGGCCCCCCTCACCTGCGTGGTACGGCCTCTGACAGACACACCTGGGGCCTGGCCCAGCGTCCGGAGCGGCCATTCCGCCGGGGTCAGCCCAGGGCAGGCGTGGGGGAGGCATTGGATGGGAGCCGCCCTGGTGGGTGAGCCGGGGTGGAGGTCCCGCCTCCTGGATCAGGAAGCCCCACTGGCGGGGAGGCCTCAGTCCCCCCAGAAGTGGACCGGCAGGCCAGCCGCGCTGCCCCCCAGGTCCCACGCTGTCCCAGTCCCCATACTGCCTTCAGCAGCACCCACACCCGCTCAGTTGGGGTACTCCAGGTGAGGCCTCCGCTTGGAGTGGCCTTCCCGCCTTGCCTCTTCCCAGGGCACTGACCACCTTGCTGTCCCTCCTCAGCCATCTCTGAGGGTCTTCGCCTGTGGGGAGCACAAGATGCCTCCTCCCCCGACAGACTTGCCCTTTGACGTCACTGATGACGGGTGTGGGCCCCAGGGCCTCTCTCTGCTCCTCGACTCCCCACAGCTCCACCACAACCCGGGAGACCCCCACCCTCCGCCCGTGTGGAGGGGCTGCCCGAGCCGAGTTCTGCCTCACAGCCCCCCGCCCGGCCCCAGGCCTTCTCCTCATCTGTGGTGGGCAGTGACACCAGCTTCATCGTGGGGTGTGGGAGTCAAAGATGGCGGCTGCTCGCCAGAGGCCCTGGCAAGCCTCATCCGCCACGTACCGGGGGCGCAGCGAGGTAACCAGAGTCCGGGGGCAATCTCTAAATCGTGCCTCCCCGCCAGTTTCAAGATGAATAGACGTCCATAGTGGCAACGGCATCAGCAGAAACGCCTTCCCCCCTCTTGTCCAGCTGCCTCAGTCAGGCACCTTAAGGTATTTGTGGCGCCTCGGAATGTCATCCCGCGCCTCATCTGGCGCCCCCTTGGACTTGCGCCTGGGGACAAGTGCTCCCTTCTGCCCCCCACCCCACTACGCCTCTGCACCTGCCTAGGTGCTTAGACCTGTCCCAGGAGCCTCCAGTGGGTCCTCCTCCAACAGGGCGCCCACGTCTCCCTTGCAGTGGGGCGTACACCCTTCGGCCCTCATGCTGCGGCTTCAGTTCAGGCCGCTAGTACCCTAAGTCCCGCCCAGCCCAGAGGCTCCCCATCCCTTCTGGGTCAGCAAGCCCAGGAGGCAGGCGAGGCAGGCCTTTGCCAAGGTCTGTGGGCCCCTCTCCCGGCTTGGCTGCCCCTCCCAGCCCAGCGAAGCTCTGGGGGCCGGGGCTCTGCACTGCACCCTCCGCCCACGTCACCCCCGACCACGTTGAAGGCGAGGCTATTAGGGAACCACACAGTGCAGGGGCCACCTCGGGCTTCATGGAGCCCCTGCCTGTACATTATCTTTGTGTTTTGCATTGCACGTGTGTGCGTATGCATGTGTGTTTGTGCCTGCATTGTGGGCGTGTGCATGTGTAGGTATGTGACACATGCGTGTATGTGCATGCAGAGGTTTGTGCACGAGTGGGTATGTGTGTACATGCATGTGTATTTCTGCCTGCATTGTGGGTGTGCACAACTTTGCATGCAAGTTTGTGCATGTATGTGTATGTGTGCATACATGCGTGGGATGCACGTGTGTGCATGTGTAGATATGTGCGTGCATCTGTGCATATATGTGCACGCACGTGTGCATGTGTGGGCACGTGTGGGCATGCATATTTGTGCTCGTGTTTTTGCATGCATGTGTAAACATGAACATGTGTGCATGTATCTATGTGAGTGCACGCATGTGTGTGTGAGACGAGCTGGGACAGGCACGGCTGTGCCCACAGCAGCACAGACGAGAGGACTGGGTATTGAGGCAGTTCACAGGCAGGGAGCAGCCCCTGCCGGGGTGGGGTCTGGGCAGGGCCTTGGCGGAAGGACACCTGGCAAGGGCTGGGCGACACCTGGCGGCTGCTTTATGTTTCCCGGGGAGTTGGCCCAGAAGGAAATCTGCACAGGCAAGGGTGGCGCCATAGCAACACTGCACAGAGCACTGGTCTACTCACACCCCGCCCCGCTGCCTCCCTGCTGCCTCCTGCTCCCCAAGGGGGGGCACAGGGCTTCTGGGGCTCCTGTGGGGGTGCACACCCCAGCCTCTGGGGCTTGGTGCCCTGGAAACGTTGTGCTTCCTCCCGGCCCCCCGCCCACCCACAGATGCTGGGCCTGGTCTGCAGGGCCTGTTTCCTCAGCCATAAAATGGGGTGACAGGTTGAGTCGGGGGCAGGAACACATGGTACCTAGTAGGTGCTCAACCCACATAAGTTCCCTGCCTGCCTGCCTCCAGGACGGCGTGAGGACCCCGCACCTGCGGGAGGGCTCTTGAAGCTTCCAGCACCAGAATGCCCAGGCTCAGAGGCTCCTGGTTCTGTGCTCCTGGGGAGACTGCGGTCCCTGAGCAGGCCCCCCAATTTGGGACAGGGTTGGTGAGGAGGGATGCCCGGGAGCACACCGGCTGGGTGGATGGGCCTGTGCCCTTCATGCCCCACACACACCCTCGACCTCCTGTCATCTGTCATTGCCAGGGTCAGGCCCAGAATCACCAGGGGGTGGGGGTGCTGTCTTTGAAGGAGGACTTGGGGTCTCACATTAAATCCTGTTGACAGGTGGGCATGAGGCGCCTGTTCCGGCTCCCTGCCACCCTCCAGACCCAAATGACCCGCCAGGTCCACTGCCTCCTCCCACAGGAAGCCCACATGGCCTGGGGCCCGTGCTCAGAGTCGAGGGTCAGGGACAGTGTCCCCATGCCCAGAGGGTGAGTGTGGCTGAGGTGGCCTGGAAGCCAGAGGCAAGGTGGGGGCATTTGCAGGGCAGCCCGAGGGACCTGCTGGGTGACCCACGCCCACTGGCCCTCTCAGGGTCTCCTGTCCCTGTCTGTGATGTCCACAGGGCCCTGCCACCATCGGCCACCCTACCCAGCAGGGTCTCAAACGGGCTGTGACCGGTGCAGGAGGCGGCACCACCGCGGAAGGCTGGGAGCCAGTGGCCAAGGGCCAGCAGAGCTGTGAGCATGCTTTGTGGGCCCGGGCCCGGGGCAGGAAGCCCCACGTGGGGGAGGGGCTGTCACTTGACACCAAGCAGCGCATCGGAAGCCAAATGTTTTCCTGACCTTTCCTGTTGCGTGACCTCTGGGCACTTGCTGTGCCTCAGTTTCCCCAGACATTGGGAATTCCCAGGCCAGCCCTGATTACAGGATACAGATGGACAGCCATGGGCCCAGGTCTGAGTGGTTGCTGGGTGGCAGTGTCCCCATGCCAGCCTGGGCCCTCACCCAGTGCCCTGTCCCCTCCAGCCAGGAGCCCCCCGCCCACCACCCACCCACTCTCGCGGTCACCAGATGCTGCTCCTTTGTCCCCAAAGCCACACGAGGCTGGGCCAGGGATAGCCACCATCTGTGGACGGACAAACAGGTGGGGGAGTGGGTGGATGGGGCTTGGAGCAGGGGGCTGCATGCCCCCGGGTGTGTGATGGGGGCTGTCTCCTGCGTGTGAGTGCACGCGCAAATATGTGTGCTGCCTTCAGGCACCAGTTACAGCCGCCTGCCCCTCCCCCACCCAGCCCCCCCTAATTTATGCCACAGGGGGCTGGCCACTCGCTGGTCCCCCGCCTGGCAGCGGCTTTGTCCCATGTGGATTCCCAACGGCTGCCTGTGGGAAGAAAGGGCCCTTCTCTGGCTACGCTGAGGTCACCAGGAGGGACCAGTGGACAAAGGCCTCGGGCCCCCCCCCCCCCGCCCCGTGGCAGCTGCTTCTTTGTCCCCAGCTCCCGGCCTAGCGAGACCCCGAGGGGCCCAGCTCAGCCTCGACTTCCGCTGGGGAAAGTGGATGGGGTGGAGGAAGGGCAGGGCACCCCCCCGCCCCCAGCTGTGCGCCCGATTAAGTGACACCACCTGTTGGCACGCTGGGCCCAGGGCAGGTGTGGGTCTCAGCCCAGTGGGGGCTCTGTGTCCCGCTGTCTGGTCCCCAGGACAGACAGGGAAGGGGTGGGGGAGCATGAGGCATTGGAGGCAGCTTGTCCCGTGTGGCCTGGGGTGGGCTCTGTCAGGTAAGAGGCTCTGGGGGGTGACGATGCAGACACCTGGGGCCCATGGCCCCTCCTTCCCGTCAGCTGCTGAAACCAGTATCCCCTTGATCCCAGTGGTGCCCGTGGCGGGGGGTGCACACGCGTATGTGGGGGTATTTTTGTATTATGTGCCTGTGTCCATGTGTGTATGTATGCGTGTTTGCCTTTGCCCACGGCACACGTGTCCACACGCATGTTTGCGTGTGTTCGGGTGTGCGCGTGTCTGTGTCCATGTGTGCATGTATGGGTGCGTGTGTGTGTGTGTGTGTGTGTGGCAAGGTGAGGAGCTGGCAGGCTGGGCCCACTGGGCACTTCCAAGAACTCTGCCCCTTCCATGGCGGGAGGACAGGGGTCTGACAGAGTAGGTCCTGGCCCAGTGGCCCCAGTGCAGCCCTGTAAAAAACCCCTTTCTGAAGGACAACACACACTACAGAGGAAGTCAGCACAACTGGACTAAACCAAAGCTAAGAAGTTTCCTGAATACAACCAAACACTTCGAGGGACAGAGTAGCAGGGGTGGGGGTTTGGGGACTATGGTTTCAGGGGACATCTAGGTCAACTAGCATAACAAAGTTTATTAAGAAAATGTTCTGCATCCCACTTTGGTGAGTGGCATCTAGGGTCTTCAAAGCTAGTGAGCAGCCATCTAAGATGCATCACAACCCACCTGGCGCAAAGGAGAATGAAGAACACCAAAGACACAAGGAAAGTATCAGCCCAAGAGGCAGAAAGGGCCGCATAAACCAGAGACTCCATCAGCCTGAGACGAGAAGAACTAGATGGTGCCTGGCTACCACCAATGACTGCCCTGACAGGGAACCCAAAAAAGAGTCCCTGACAAAGCGGGAGAAAAGTGGGGTGCAGAACTCAAATTCTAGTAAAAAGACCAGACTTAATGGTCTGACTGAGACTGGAGGGACCCTGGAAGACATGGCCCCCAGACTGTCTTTATTCAGAACTGAAATCATTCCCAAAGCCAACTCTTCAAAGATTAGACTGGACTGTGGGACATAAAATGATACTTGTGAAGAGTGTGCTTCTTAGCTCAAGTAGAGACTAAACGGGCAGCTCCTGTCCAGAGGCGAGATGAGAAGGCGGAGAGGGCCAGGAGCTGGTTGAATGGACACGGGAAATCCAGGGTGGAAAGGAGGAGTGTGCTGTCACAGTATAGGGAGAGCAGCTAGGGTCACATAGCAATCTGTGTATAAATTTTTGTATGAGAAAGTGACTTGAACTGTAAACTTTAACTTAAAGCACAATAAAAAAAAGAAAAGAAACCCCTCTCTACCTGCCTGGTCTCCCAAACTGCCCACAAGACCACGGCCCCCTCCCCCACAGCGAGCGCGGGGCCTCCCGGGCAGGGGGATGGGGGTGTCAGCGAAAGTGGGGTATGTGACACGCACTGGAGAACAGTGGCGTGGGGTGAGGCGCACAGCCTGGGCTGGCCCCGTCTATTTACTGCACACCTCCCGTGTGTCAGCCCAGGGCAGGGACGGCTGGATGCATCCTGGCCACCAGGACAGGCAGCTTAGCAGAAGCCCGCCCACCTCGGAGGCACAGGGCAGCTTGGCCGGGGCCAGGATATCGTCCTCAAGGCTGGGGGGAGGGCGGCGGAAGGAGAGAAAGGCGAGGGAGGTGGGGGCTTCAGAGGCCCAAGGCCTCCCTGGTGGAGGTGGCCTGAGCTGGGGTGCTGAAGGGTTGGCGTGGGCCAGGCTGGGCGCCAGGAGCCGCTTCAGGGCTGAGGGGCAGGACCATCGGCGCAGAAGCACCAGGCACTCCCCCGGCCACCAGCTGGCAGCTTGGCTGAGCTCCTTAGCAGTCTCCCCACGGAGGGAGGAAGTGGCGTCCAGGGAGCTAAACAAACCCTGCGTCTTGTGTCCCAGGCAAACAGGACGCTGGGCCGGCCACCCGGGGCCTTGAGGGCCCTGGACTGGGGGGTGCTGAAGGCTCACGGGTGGGGTGCAAAGCCCAGGGGCAGTGGCGGCGGGAACTGGGGTCCCATTGAAATTGCCCAGCCTGCCTTGGCCCCCTCTGTTTAGAGCCCCAGGCCTAAACAAGGGAGGCGGGACGGCTGGAGGGGCAAGGGGCTGGGATGGGGAGGAGGGTGGGTCTGCCCGGTGGGCCGAGGAGGGACTGCGCGGGCGCGGGCGTAGGACAGCAGCCGAGTCCCCTCCTCTGGGGCCTGCTAGTTGGGGAGGAGGTGCTCCTGGGGGGAGGGAGGGGCAGGCAGCAGAGCCGAGGGGGAGGCTGCGTGCCCTGGCAGGGCGACCTGGGGGCCGAGGGTGGCGGGCCCCTAGCTCACCCTGAGAAACATCCCCTTCCTGTTGCCTGGCGCTGGAATGTCCATTGTGCCGGTAACCTAGCAACGAGCCTCTGTCACCCCCACTCCTGCTCCAGCCCCCACCCCAGCGTCCCGGCCGGCATTCCAAGGCGCCTCCGCAACGGGGCCGGGTTGCCATCTGTGCACATCCAGTGCACTGAGCACCAGCGTCCAGGGACTGGGGCCGCAGACACGGCTGCCTGCTTGGTGGCCGGGGCCCCACGGGCACTGTGTGGAGCCACTGGCCACGCTGGCGCTTCGTCATGAAAGCACAGGAGCCCTGTTCAACTTCCTCCAACTCCCTGTTTGACGCCTTGGCCAGAGATTTCCCTTTTAGGCGACTCTGGTCTGCAGGACAGATGCAGGGACGGGGCGGGGGATGGGCAGGGACCCCTCGGGGGCGACTGCACAGGGCACGCTGGTCAGGTTGGGAAGAGGGCGATCCAATGGGCACGCTCGACCGTGTGTAAATTATACAGCAGCGAGAGGGACCCCCGACTGCTCTTCTGGGCCAAGGGCAGGCCAGGCCCCTCGGGGGCAGCCGGTGGGGGGTGCTGGACCTCTGGGAGGGACTGGAAGGAGGAGGGGCCGCTCTCGGGATTTGTGGAGGCTGGGAGGAGCTGCCTCCTGGGCTGCGGGGACAAGACCTCTGCTGCGAAGGGAAGACGGGCAGCCGGGCAGCCTGCAGCCTCCTACTCCTCCTTTGCCACCCTCTGCGCTGGGGGCCGGACATCTGCCGGTGGCCCCAGTCCAGCTCACTCCTAGGCCAAGGCCACTGATCCAAGCTGGGGGAGTGGAGAACGGCAGCACCCTGGGGCCCCTGCAGGGGACAGGGCCACCCCCGTCTCTTCACCCACCCCCATAGTCTGTGACTCTGCAGCCACACCGACGCTGGAGACCCCCGGCTTGAAGGGACCCTGGTGGCCCTGGGCAGGAGGAGGAGGGAAAAGAGACCAGAGTCCTGCCCAGAACGGGCGGCTCCAGACATGTGTGGAACAAATAAACGGTTGAAGTGGCCTTTAAAAAAAAATAAAAATAATAAAAAACAAGTTTTTATTATGGAAAATGTCGAACAGATGCCAAGGTGGAGCACTGGTACAAAGAGCCTCTGTAGCCTCCTCCCGGCTCCAACCGTCGCCCCGCGGCCCCCTCCTGCCGGCCCATGGCGGGCGACTCCCAGGCAAATCAGCCTCCCCCTCCCACAACACCATCGCACACCTAAAAAGGTGTCGTTCCTTAAGCTCAGAAAACATCCACTCGGGCTTCAAACCTCCCGACGGACTTGTTTTAAATGAGACTTTGGGTTTGCTCATGCCAGGAACCCCAAGGCCCCTACTGACCTGCGGCTCCTCGGCCTCCTTCATCCCAAAGGCAACGTGGGGACGAACCACGGTGAGCGCAGGCTAATCCCCAGAGGAGGATTCTGGGGACTCCGAGGCAGACATTCAAATCGGATTGAGGAGAAATTAAGTTGACGACAGTGCAGCCCAGAAAGAGCCGCGTACTAGAGGCTCCCACGGAGCTGTGACCATGTCGCCGAAGTTCAGCAGTGTGATAAAGAGCTTTTTGTTTGCTTGTTTTAAGAAATAAAAGAAAGGGCAGAAAAAAGGCTTGAGAGATGCCTGGTTCCTCTGGCAGCGATCCTCAAACTCCAGAGAGCCTCAGAATCCCTGGGGGGCTCGTTCAAACTCGGGTAGCTTGCCTCACCCCAGAGCTCCCAATTCCACAGGCCTGGGGTGGGGCCAGAGGAGCCCTGGTGGCTCAGTGGTTAAAGGGCTCAGCTGCTAACTGAAAGGTCAGCGGTTCAAACCTACCAGCGGCTCCAGTGGAGAAAGATGTGGCAGTCTGCTTCTGTAAAGATCACAGCCTTGAAAACCCTACAGGGCAGCTCTATAGGGTCGCTATGAGTCAGAATCCATTTGACGGCAGTGGGTTTGGGGTGGGCCAAGAACCTGCATATCTACGAAGCTCCCAGGTGACGCTGATGCAGACCGTCCAGGGACCGCGTGTGAGAACCACCAATCGTGGGCACTGCACAAACATACCTGAAGCTTAGGGGTGGTTCTGTCACCTGGAAAGTGAGAACGACTGCCCTGTGGGCTTGCAAAGATCCAAGAACTGAAAACAAGCCTCGCTCACAGTAGAGCTGAGTAAGAGGTACTTGTTACATCTGACACCCTCACGCACCACCTGGTGGCAGCGTACCCAGGGGACAACATGGACAGGGGCTCCGAGGGCCTGTGACATCACAGTCACTCTGGGAGGAGAAGACATTATCAGCTTCACTTTACAGACAAGGAAACCAAGGCCCCCCCAAACGGTAACATGATGGAGTCAAAGAGCTTCAATGCACTTATTTACTTAAAATCATATATGCTATGCAACAAGATAATATTTTGCAAAAAGGAAGAAATCAAGACATCAAGAAAAATCAGGTAGGAAACAAGATGAAACTCCATATACTTTTTGCCATGTAGGCAGCAAATTTGGCTCTGAGCTTC